TAATACATATAGAGTTATCATCAGAATTGCAAATATGTACTTAGAATCGTTGTTAGGATTAGATTTTCATGTAAAATATTCCTCATTTAATTAAACGCTTTTTTGCTAAAATCATTATTCAGTCATACATATAAATTTAACAAACTGCCAATATATTTCTCGATTTATGTTTGCATGATCGTGGATGAACTTAATAAAAAAAGTCACTAAGAGTGTAATGCCCGGGAAACGAAGCGCTAAAGAAATATTGAAATTATTTTACTATCTAAACCATGATTTTAATTCATGTGATCTCTAAGCTTTGCTGTTGATGGATTTCAATCTGAGAGTCACCATGACTCAGACAATAATACCTTGCACGCTTTGCTGTCGTAGATTTCGATATGAGAGTCACCCGCTTAATTATTAAATTCGTGTGATCTCTGGATAGAACGAAGCGCCAAATAAATATTGGGATTATGCAGATCGTCGTTGGTATGTGTAATGGTGGTAATAATTAACTAGTTGGGAACGATCTAGCTTCAACCTTCTGTATGATCAGTAATGAGGGTCACCCGCGTAATGACGGTGATTATGATTTGTTTTATGAGCAGAAAATCCCTCGCGAAATGTACGTAACAGAGCCTCATCAAATGATATATTATCTTATTCCTCCCCTGCATGCTGTCCTTCATCCTTTCCTTTCAAAGGTACGACACGCTTGGCATCCTCAGTACATATCATATAGTCATGTTCGTGTCTAATTCATGTCGTGAATATTGTGTAGAAAATGTATCTCCGTACTTAGCCTCCACTGTTGGCGGGTGAGTTTAATTCATTATTTTATCTGTTTATAAATTTGAATTCTTATCGTAACATTGTTGCTGTTTGTATGTGCATATTATCGTTATTCACGTGTAACTACACAACCTTACGCAATTAACCATTTTACAAAATGAGTCGGGTAGCAATACACAATCACTTCGTGATATATCTAATGGTACGCAACTATGTTCTTTAGCAGTATGTACAGGGAAAAAAGTATGACTTCATTACGTTTTTCGGTCATAGCGTCTTATGTATTTTAATATTTTTTTATAGATGGTAGAAATGCCAGAAGAAGGCGCAAAAATTTAATCGACTAGAAGAAAAAGTCTAAGCAGTGGATAGATGCTCTCAATATCAGTAAAATGCCTGATTTAACAGGTAATAATTTTTGGATGAATCTACAATCTTAATTCGAACGTTAAAAGTTGTCAAATTATAGGATTTTTTTAATTATTTTTCCTGATTGTATAAATAATATCAAATTTATGTCATAAATATGGTGTAGAAAATGTATCTCCTTGCTCAGCCTCCACTGTTTGCGGGTGAGTTGAATTCGTTATTTTATCTGTTTATAGATTCAAATTCTGATCGTAACATTGTTGTTGTTTGTATATGGACATTGTGATTATTCATGTCTAACTATGCAGCCTTACCCAATTAACCACTTCACAAAATGAGTCTAGTTGCAATACACAATCACTTTGTGATATCTCTAACGGTACGTAACTATGTTCTTGAATAGTATGTACAAGGAAAAAGAAAGGACTTCATTACTTTTTTTTGTCGTGACGTTTTATGTGTTTTTATATTTTTTATAGATAATGGAAATGACAGAACAAGGCGCAAAAACTTAATCGACCAGAAGAAAAAGTCTAAGCAGTTCATAGAAGCTGTCAATATCAGGAAAATGCCCGATTTAACAGGTAATATATTTGGATGAATCAGCAATCTTTATTTTAACGTTACAAGTTGTTAAATTTATGGATATTTTTTTGTAATTCTTTTTCCTAACTGTATAAATAATATATTACCTCTGTCGGATTTTGTTTGCTCAAATAGAAATTGATGACGAACCTGATATGACGATGCATTCCACCCTCAATGCGTTATCTAATGAGCAATCAATATCACAGTACAATAGCATTGTTACTCGAATTTATCATATTCTTTTGCTTGATTATAAACGACATATTTTTTTGTTTTAAAGGTGGGGATATCGTTCTATAAGCAATACCCCAATTGATGTTGGTGAACTAAGGAACGTCTCATTTAATGATGGTATTCTATTTCTCATTGTTGACTGTTGCTGTGTCGCACAAAAATTATAAATATATATCTAATCTGTTTTTTTTTCACAATGATATTCTAGGAACAAATTCCACTCCTAATATCCAACATGGTACGTATTTTTATTTTTTTATTAGATTCAAGTTTCGTATAATTGGTTGTTACGTACGTCAACCAAAATACAATTTTGACTTTTATCTTACTTCTTTAATTTTTTTTGCCTGTTGTTTTGGTTCCAGATAATGATTTCAACGATCATCATTTACCAAACATTGCGTCTGTTAGTGAAGGTAGAGCTATGAATTTAATGATTTGTATTTTTAAATTCCATGACATAATTTTCTTTCTAACATGACTTATGCATATTTTATGTATGTAGATTACTGGGATGTAGGGGATCGTACTTTTGTTTGCGCTCATTGTGGAGCACATATGTGGTATGAAGAGAGATTAAGAAAATAGCGTAAAGCTAGCATGCCAGCTTTTAGTCTATGTTGCGCTAATGGAAAAGTTAAACTTCCTTTGTTAAAAGTTGCTCCCGATATGTTGATTCAATTGCACGATAATTCCAATAATAGGAGTCGCCATTTCTTACAAAATATTCGAGCGTACAACATGATTTTTTCCTTTACCTCCTTCGGAGCTAAAGTAGATGGACCAATAAATCAAGGTTCTGGTCCTTATTGTTTTTTTTTTTTTTTTTTTTTGATAACAAGTCCTTATTGTTTTAGAGTTGGAGGACGAGTGCATCATTTAATGGGCAGCCTTCTTCCGCCTGATAGTCAGACTCCAAAATTTGCACAGCTTTATATTTATGATACTGATCATGAAGTTGACTACAGATTGGGTTCCCTAAGGCATTGTGATTTTCGTTATTCATGTCGCTATTAAATGTATTTTATAACTCATTATTTATGTATCAAACATGCAGTTCCACCAGGAGTGAAGATATGCTTGATCCCGATATAGTGCAATCATTGAAGGATATGTTGGATAAACATAATACTGTTGCCCAATCTTTCCGTTATGCCAGAGACCGTTACAAGGAAGATGACTTCAATGGTGTGAAGTTGAGGCTTATTCGAAGACGTGGCAATGATTGAAGAGTTTATAATCTTCCATCTGCATCTGAAGTTGCTGCTCTGATTGTTGGAGACATAGACAGTGCACTGGGTGATAGAGACATCATTATTGAGACACAAAACTGACTTCTACAGCGCATAGATGTCAAACATCCATTATATCTTTCCTTGCAGTATCCTTTGTTAATTCCTTATGGTGAAGATGGTCATGATGATGTCCAACGTACTTCCATCTCCAGTGGTAGAACAAACCCAAGATCAATGATTAGCATGAAAGAGTTCTTTTCCTTTCGACTCCAGATGAGATCCGGAGAGTCCAAAGTTCTCACTCAATCGCGAAAACTTTTCCAGCAATTTTTGGTTGATGCTTACACTGTGATTGAGCATGAACGCCTCAATTTCATCCGCTATAACCAAAGTCAACTCAGAGCAGAGATGTACAAAAATATAATACATGCTTATGATAGAGGGGAGGATAGAGCAGATAGAACTGGTAAGCGCATTATTCTTCCATCTTCTTTCACAAGAGGTCCTAGATATATGGCTGAGAATTGTAAAGACGCTTTGCAATTTGCTGTTGGGATGGATATCCTTATCTTTTTATTACAATTACGTGCAATCCGAAATGGCCAGAAATAATAAGGATTCTTAAGGCCAAAAAGTTGAGCGCTGAAGATAGGCCTGATATCGTATGCAGGGTATTCAAGTTCAAATTGGACCAATTGTTACATGATTTAAAAAAGGGACATGTTCTTGGCAAGGTTAATGCGTGTAAGTAAACACATCACTTAATTTTATTTTGCAAAAAATATATGATCATTTCGGATTGTATTTGGATGTTATATATAATTTTGAATTTTGCTACATATAACTGTATTATTCTCTTCTAATTAATTTTGTATGCTTCTTTATATATTGTAGATGTTTGTACAATCGAATTTCAGAAGCGTGGACTGCCTCATGCTCATATCCTAATATTCCTTCACCCTTCTAACAAGCCTGATACTATACTTGATATTGATAAATTAATATCGGCTGAGATTCCTAACAAGGAAATCAATCCTTCGCTGTTTGCAGCTGTCACAAGTTACATGATGCATGGACCCTATGGTCCTGAGAATTACAAGTCACCGTGCATGAAGGAGGGAAAATGTTCAAAGAAATTTTCAAAGAAGTTTTGCTCCCGTACGACTATTGATGATGACGGATTCCCTCATTATAGAAGAAGAAATGATGGTAGGGTTGTCAATAAAAATGGGGTTGAGCTTGATAATCGTTATGTTGTGCCATATAGTGCAAAACTTCTCTTAAAGTATCAAGCTCATATTAATGTTGAATATACCTGTCAGAGCAGTGCCATTAAATATCTTTTTAAATATATTCATAAAGGCAATGATCGAGTCACAACAGCTATACATCATTCATATGATGAAATAAAAATGTTTTATGATTGCAGGTGCTCGAATTCATCTCCATTATTTTTCTTTTGTTCTCATCTTTTTGGTTAGTGTTTTCGGACCTAGTTGTGTCTTTATTCCTAATCTATGATAGGTACATCTCCGCATGTGAAGCTGTATGGAGAATATTTGGATTTGACGTTCACTACAAATACCCTCTTGTTCAGAGATTGCAATTTCACCTACCTAATGAAAAAACTGTTGTTTTTAGTGATGGTGCTTCGATATCTGATATTAAAAAAAGAGCGGAGTCTCGACAAACAATTTTCCAGGCTTAGATGGATGTAAATAAAAAATTTCCAGAAGGTAGGCATCTTACTTATGCTGAGTATCCAACTCGTTTTGTTTATAATGAAGATAAGCAGGAATGGCATCCGAGAAAAAAGGATTTTCAATTGGAAGAATAAATCATTTTTCTGCCAATAACGTAGAAGACTCCTATCTTCGAATGCTTCTTACTTTTCAAAAGGGTTGTACGAGTTATGATGACATAAGAACAATAAATGGCGTGTTTTTTCCTACATTTAAGGATGCCTACTATTCTCTTGGACTCTTGGATGATGACAATGAGTATATTGATGCAATTAAAGAGGCAAGTTCCTGGGCGTCAGCCCATTATCTTAGACATCTTTTTGCTTTGTTGTTATTTGTCAACTCTATGAGCAAACCTGACCATGTTTGGGGAAAATGTTAGGAATTTATTTCTGATGATGTTCTCTATCAGCATAGGAAAAGAATAGGATGTCCAGGTATACATTATGAACTGGAAAAAAAAATCATTACATTTTCAATTTATAATTATTTTATTTTATTTTATATGTGTAAATGTAAATGACAAAAGTATATACACAATAGAAAACGAAATATTTTTTGTTGTGGTGTTTGTTTCCAAATACTAACGTATTTTCTTTCATGTTTTTTTAGATTCGGTTCTTTGATAAGAGTCTATTAAGAATATAACACTTTCTGAAATTGATAAGGTTCAGCAGAGCAATGGCAAACGCCTCTATGACTACCCATCAATGCCTCACATCATTACTGAATCTTTGCATGATATCCAAAATCAATTGGTGCTTGATGAATTACTGTATGACAAATTTTTTTTGGAAGAAGAGCATAGAAGACTAATGAATTCCCTCACTAATGAGCAGAAAATTGTTTATGACAAGATCATTTCAGCAGTTTCGACAGGTACAGGGGGATTCTTTTTTCTATATGAATTTGGTGGTATAGGAAAAACATTTATTTGGAATACTCTATCAGCATCAATTAGATCAAAAGGTGAAATTGTGCTTAATGTTGCTTTTAGCGGAATTGCTTCTCTTCTTCTTCCTGGAGGAAGAATCGCACATTCTAGATTTCGTATTCCTGTTCAGATCACAGAGGATTCAACATGTAATATAAAGCAGGATTCTACTCTTGCAGAGTTGCTGTAAAAAACAAGGTTAATCATTTGGGACGAAGCCCCAATGATACACAGATTAATTTTGCGTCGAGGCTCTCGACAAAACACTTAGAGATCTTCTTAGATTTTCTGTTACAAGTTGTACTGATAAGCCTTTTGGTGGTAAAGTCGTTGTTCTGGGAGGTGACTTTCGACAAATATTGCCTGTTATTCCTCATGGCAGCAGACAAGAGATTGTTCATGCAACCATTAATTCTTCTTATCTTTGGCCTCATTGTCATTTATTAACTTTGACCAAAAACATGCGTCTTAGTTCTAGCAATTCTGCTCAAAATATGATGGAAATAAAAGAATTTTCTGAGTGGCTTCTTAAAGTAGGAGATGGTGTTCTTGGAGACGATTCTGATGGAGAATCTATTATAACAATTCCAGCCGAATTATTGATTAAAAAATCAAATGATCCACTTTCTGATATGGTTAATTTTGTGTACCCGGATATCTTGGACCATATATTAGATCCTCCATTCTTCAAAGAGCGTGCCATTCTAACTCCTAAATTGACAGATGTTGCTATGTTAAATGAGCAATTGATGTCTTTGATTCCAGGAGAGGAAAAAATGTATTTGAGTTCAGATAAAGTCTTGAAACAAGATGGTAATTCTTCACTGGAGGATGAAGAATTCTCACCTGATATCCTAAATACTTTCACATGTTCGGGACTTCCTGGTCATAAGTTGATTTTGAAGGTTAAAATTCCAATTATGCTATTAAGCAATATTGATCAGTCAAGAGGTTTATGCAATGGAACATGATTGCTTATAACAAGGTTAGGCAATCATGTTGTTGAGGCGACTGTTCTTACAGGAAGCAATATAGGAGAAACAATGTTAATCCCTAGAATGTCAATGAGCCCATCCAGCCACACATTTCCTGTGAATTTTCAAAGAAGACAATTCCCCCTTGTCGTTTCATTTGCTATGACGATCAACAAGAGTCAAGAACAATCACTTTCTCATGTTGGAATTTATCTCCCTAGGCCTGTATTCACTCGTGGGCAATTATATGTGGCACTATCTAGAGTGAAGAGCAAACAAGGATTAAAGATGTTGATTCTGGATGATAATGGATGTGTTACAAATACTACATTTAACATAGTATACAAGGAAGTATTTCAACAATTACTGTAGTTCATTTGGTTCAGGTAAAAAAGAAAAAAAAGGAAGTACCATAGCCCTTACTTAATTATATTTATTGCCATTTTGGTTTTGGTTACATCTGATTTGTTCTATTTTTTATTGACATGCAGAAACTGTACTTTATGCACAGTTAGTCATGATTAAATTTATTTTTTTGTTGATGTTGAAAATGTTTCTTTGTGAGAATTGCAATGCAAAAGGTAAGCGTTGCTCTAACACTATTTCATTTTTTCCCCGTATAGTTATTTCCCTCATTATGTGGAGATGATATATTTATCCTTGATAAAGGTACAATTCTTCGCTCAACTACGCTGTATTTTTTTTTTAATATACTGTAAATTCTACATGATGAAACAACATTTTATAATATGATGTGATAATTGTTGGAATTATATGCCATTAGCTGTGAAATTCTTCTATCCATTATATATAATTGTTATGATTGTTTGAAGAATTAATCGATTTATATTGTACTCACACATGATCTTTTTTTTCGTTAATAGTTTTGACACTGAAGTCAAAGTTCCCACTCCTTAGAAGGAAAATGTATACCTATTGCGGTTAAACAATAAATGTGAAATATATTTTGTGCTGATTACACAGTAAAGTGTATTTGGATTTATTTGGTGCCCATTGGACATTATGGACGCTGATTTTGGATTTTTCCATATCCATGCTAATAGTGTACATTTCACCTACACATTGTCATGGATTGTTGCTGTATTTATATATTAAGATTTCAGTTGGACACTGATGAGAAAACATCCTTCAAAGTTCAAATTCATCCTCCGCAATATATATTTCAATGGCATCCGATATTTTTTTTTCTTCACATTTTTTGATATAACAACGTCTTGGAAAGTTTAAGTTTGTAGATACAAATGTAAACAGACCTATGCAAATTACGTCAACTTGATCACAGGACTTTCTGATAGTTCTGCAGAAACCTCTACTAATAGTAACAGTGCGATTTGTTAATAAAGTTAGTTGTACTTTATGGCACTCCCAAATCTTGAAATACAGAAATATAGCTGCCTATTCAGAATCAGCCAATGGAATCCGATTTAATATATTTCATTGGTACATAAAATGAATGCAGTCAAAGTATAAAGTGAAAGGTTTTTTTTTTAACTTTCTATTCAATATTCAATATAGTAGTTCGCAACGTAATTTGTTTTCGTCAGAAAAAATACAAACCGACATTTTTCAATGCATTATCACTTTCACCTGTTATAATATGTGCTGGAAAAAAAAATTAAATTCAAAACCCCTAAATGCTAAATGCTAAATGCTAAACCGATGGAGTTGCCTCATTTTTTTTTTGTTATGTACCGTTTTCTGGATTTTGTTACTTAAACGTGAAGCAATGATAACTCTAATGTCTGTGTCAATTTGGATATGGAATTGCAATAGTCCTCTGTCACCCAATGAGCATTTTTTTCAATTGGAAAGTAATAACTGTTAAAAATTATTTGTTGGTACTCAAAGAACAGAAGAAACAGAAGAAGCCTTTTCGTTGTCTATCTGAGCATTGATTATCTCTCTCTGGTGTCTTTTAGTATTCCCAATGCATTTATTTGTTGTGATGGATATTGACAACACGTTATTATATATTAAAACCTTTAGTATTCCTTAAGCATCTAATTTTTGTAAACCGTTTTACGTCTTCCTACACTCATTGCTATTAACATCTGCATGTTTCTGCATTGGAAATAGGAAGCCACGATTTGAATGCAATAAGAAGCTACACTTACTCATTGGATATGATCTGCACACCACATCTTTTTTGTATAGCAGGTCACCTTTCCATATCTTTTAACCCACCTTTTTGCATGTTTGAATCATTATTCTGATTTCGTTTTAAGGAAATTAATTATTATACACATTGGAGTTTGTTGGTATTCGTCTTGGAAACATGGAGCCATGGTATTACTAAAATCCTGATCTATCGTGAAGATCTTAATAACCAATAACCAAGGCCCTTTTTTTTTTTTTATGGACAGATGGAGGAGACACCCATTTTTTTACAATTCATGTTTATGATTAATTTTGCAGTAATCAATATGGAGTGCAAAGCTTCTCTTTATATATAAGTCTACATAAGAAAGATAGCAAAGAAAAATACATTTGATTGAGTAGTGTGTCAACACTTTCAAAATTGAGTAAATGGCTGATTCATCTTATACAAAGAGGTCAAAACTTGAGAAGCGTGAGTACTGCTCCATCAACACCCTTCCAGACGACATATTATTAGAGATATTTGCAAGAGTGGTGGCACATCAAAATTTAAAGTTGTCTATTATGTCCTTATTATTCAATCAAAATTTGTGTAGTTTATATTTAAAAAATTGTGTGTGAATGTTATAGGTTTTTAAAGTTCACGTGACAATTGTGCTTTTTGTTTTTTTGTTCCTTCATGTTTATACCACCCTCGCAGTATCGTTCAGAATTTGATAGCAAAATGTATGTATTGATTTACCAGTGCAACGATTAACCACGACGGCGATAACGATTTCGTTCTTTTCCCCCGGGCATCGCACGGGTAATTCACTAGTGTATATATATATATATAAAAGGAAGTTATACTTACAACCTATTTTTGTTTACAGTTTTTTAAACCATATTTTATCTAATGATTTTCGTCAATCAATGATTATCATTTATTGCGAATTAATATTTAATTAATGAGTTTGATTTACGAAAATAATAACCGTTGATTAATGTTTAATTAATGTTTGGATCCTCTCTTTTTTAAGCTAGAAGCTACTTATAAGATAAAGCTAAAAAAAGAACTAAAAGCTGTTTGGTAATTACATAAAAATTTTAGTTTAAAAGCACATATTTCAAGAAAATTATCTCTCTCTATATTGCTATAGCTGTCCATTTAAAAAAAAACACAATTCAAGAAGAGCATATAAGAGCTTTTAGCTTGTTTCTTCATTATAAAAAAAGAGTTTTTTATTATAAGAACTTTCCTGAAAACCTATTTAGCCTAACTTATATTTATAAGTAGCTTTTAACTTAAAAAAGAGAGGATGCAAATATTCAGTTATTAACTTTATAATTTATTGGGATATACATTTCACCTATGTTGAGAATTTTATTTCAGGTAATCCACAGGCGAGGGTAGCAGTTCTATAAAAATGTGATATTGCGCACGCAGTCAATTTTGTTTTTTTGTAATAACTGATGAATAATGTTATGATGTAATTCTGACGTACTGATGGATGGATGTATCTATATATTCAGTTTAGCTGTGTGTTTCCCTTATTTTAGTGTAAAAATTCCCGCAAAGCGGGGTGTTAATTTTTTTTTTTAAAAAAAAAAAATAGAAGACAAAAGATAAATTTAAGGAAAAAAAAGACAAAATTTTTTTATATTTATTTTCAAACAAAAATACTGATAAACAAATGACCTATCAATTAAAATTTAAAAGCTTTAACCAATTAACTAGAAAAAAAATAGAACTCCAGGGAAAATTTTTCCAAGTGTCTGCATCCTTCTAATTACATGTAGGAGAACCAATAAAAAAAAATATCTACATGTTATCAGGCAAGGGTGTGCACACTCTAGTCTAGTTTAGTTTGAGGGTCACTCTTGAACCAAAAAATACTTGGATTTTTATGGATTAAACAAAACGATTTTTTATTATTCTTATGTTACATAATATATATTCTATCTCCTACACACACAAATTCAAGATGAGTCTCATTTTATTTTTTTTCTCTCCCGTTGAAAATGAATCCCACCTCCACAAATGAGTCTATAAAAAATAATAATTATCTTTTATTGCATAAGAAAACTTAAACAAATTTCATTCCACGGTTTATTGATGTTTGAAACTTTTACCCTATCAAATGTGAGAATTCTTGTATAGTCTCATGATACTACTACACCTAACGGTAAATATTTAATCTAGATTTTATTATTCAATTTCAATATTACAAATTTAATCCAAGGACATATATAGAATATTTTGTTCACGTGTTATAATTTTAATGGACCCGCTGTAATTCTGTGCAGAAGTACATAAGAAATTCTGCTATCAATGTTACGGAGCATGGAAACAACTTAGCTAACTCCCAAAAAAAAAAAAAAAACGATAAACCTCTAGAAGTGGCATATTTGGTAGGGAAGTGTGTCCAGTTTTGGGACTGATCTGTTGTAATTTTTGGACTAAAAAGGTCAAATCCTTGCCCTCTAAGTCTTAATAAAGGATTAGTTTTATCCTCTTTTTGGTGAGAGATACATTTTGGTTATAAAAAGAAAAAGAAAAATATGTGTCATTTTAAAGAATTAAAATTGTGTCATTTTAAATGAAAGAAAGAGATAAATCATGTGGAGAGAGAGTGGATAAAAAAATAAAATAAAGGTGTGTAGGTGTGTAAATGGACTGGGCTGGGCCGGGCTTTGGCCTTCATGGCCCAAGCCTACGTAAAAAAAAATCAGCCTATCTGGCCTACTGGCCTATTAAAGGCTTTATTTGTAGGTCAAGCCCGGTCCATTTTTAAAAATAAGAAAGTCTGACATGGTCTACAGGCCTTGTTGGCCTCCCACTGTAGATACTAAGCGAAAAAAATAATTGTATAGAGCAAAGAAAATTCCATTCATGCATGCACTAGTACTTCTCATAAGAAAAATATGACAAACAAGAAAGAGTCAACATAATACCCTAGCTCTAGAATGTATATCATAGAGGAATAGAGTCAAAGAAATGAGAAAAATAAGAAAAATACAATTACTGGATGCTGAAATAAAGTCTACAAGATAATATCATTCATCTAAAATTCTTTAAACCACCATCAAGACAAGGAAAAGAAGACTATTATTGAAAGATCTTCATCAGTAACATCATAATCCAGCAAGGTACCCATTGCAACAACACGTAAAATTTGGAGACATTAGACAAGTTTTCCTTTCATAAAATAAAATAGCACAAAAAGTAAGAGATATTGGTATTTGGTACTTTGCGTCTTTGCCACATAAAATAAATATTATTTATTATTTTATTTTAATAAATTAAATAGGCCAGCCTACAAGGCTGTAGGCCGGGCTTGACAAAATTGGCCTATGGCCTATTTGTTAAAAAAGTTTTTTTATAAACCTAAGCATACTCTACTTTTCTGAAAGGCCGGGCCTGAGTTGGGCTCAATGTAGGCCGGGCCATAGGCTGGGCTGGGCCAACCTGGCCCATTTAAACCCCTAGGTGTGGGTCTCACTTCTTTGTGAGAGAGAAATGACATAAATTGTATAGTTTAAAAGGACAAACACTTTTTCTAAAAAAAACTTATTACTGAACAGAAATAAGAAAATTGGATATAATAGTAAGGGAAAAAATTCGTTTATATATTTTTTTTACAAATTTTTGCAAATATACTATGTACTCCAGGAAGTACATAGTGTACGCTAGTATACTTTCGGGAGGAGTACACAGTGTAGTTTGCATATAAAAATTTTGTAAATATAATCCTCCATGAATAGTAATAATAGAAAACAAAAGTTAATGGCAAGTTTGATTGTGTTATGCTGTTTTTTATTTTTTAAAGTTATTTTGTAGAAATATCAATAAAATGAGTGCTTTCTATGTTATTTTTTTAAAGTTAAAATTTAAAATAAAATAATAAATAATTAAAATATGTTCTCAAAATTTAATTCTAAAAATTAAAAAATAAATATAATTTTTGAAATTAGTTTTACTAAACAAAGTAACAAGCATTATCAAATATATTTTTTATTTTTTATTCTAAAAATAAAAAAAAAATTAAAAACATAATTCCAAAAACTAAAACTAAATATAATTTTTAGACATATTTTTATAAAAAAATTTCTGAAAATTAATTTATTATTAACTTTTAAAATACAATTCAAACTGGTCCCAAATCCATAAGCAGAACAATAAACATAAACAATGTGAGAAGTGTGTGTCATTTTAAATTATGTAAAATTGTGTTATTTTAAGCAAGAGAAAAATATAAATCATAAGAAAGAAAGAGTGGACAAAAAAATAAAGATGTGGGTCTTAATCTTTTGTGAGTTTCTAAGTTATTTAGAACGACAAACATTTTTTACGTATCTACCTTGAATATAAACGGTTCCAGTTCGGTTTATCGTTGAATATAAAATCATAGAATTGTAACCGAAAATCTGTGAATGTTTGGAGAGAAAAAGAAGATGAATGAGTGGTAGTATAGTACTCTTCTAGAAGGTTCTCTGGCGATTCCGTTTTGGGACTTCTTAGACATGGACGGAGGCCGTTTATGGTAAAAATAATATTGAAAAAATATTTATCATTTTAAATAACACATAGTTATGTCATTCTTAATCAAATTATGTCGTTTTAATGTGTTTTTCATTCTCTTTTCTTCATTTTCTTTTTATTTCTAATTTTATAAAAAGAGAAAAAAAGACATAATCTCAAAATGAGAGACAAATGATAAATGTTCGTTGAGATTCTAATCAGACGATATTGAAGAGTGGTAAGTAAAATAGATATAATAAAATAGGTTAAGAAAAATAGAATAACCTCTCGCTCATTCTATCACTCAAAGTTCGCACCAATTTCCAGTTTTTTTTTTTTGGTTTGGTGTTTGTCATTTTAAACGACATAAGTTATGTCATTTTAGGAGAGAGATAGACACAGAAAAACAGAAATCATGGGAGAGAGAAAGTGAGTGATTTTTTTAATTTAAAATTCAAATTTTCTGTGTCTGTATTTCTCTTAAAATGACATAACTTTCTGTCACTTAAAATGACAAACACTTTTCCTTTTCTTTTTTGAAAAATAATTACGTTGAGAGCATTTTTTTAGTGTGATAAAATATTAGAGCTAATTGCAAGCACACACATATGCTGATATGCACATTCAATTGTTTACCACTTTGCAGGTTGATAACCGTTTATAACTGACTCTAACCGTTCACTGTGTCACATACATTTATGCTAATAATACACAGTGTTTCTCTCATCAGTTTTCTCTCTTCAGTTGCAATGCCAATGATCCAGTTACTAGTTCTCATGTTGTTATCGGTTGCTTCATTCTCTTGTGTCTCTTCATATCATTGGCTTTCGAAACCTCTTATTGGAGATGATGGAAGGATCTATATTTGTTCTGGTAACAACTTTTTCGCATTTGAAAACAATGGTAGCATTGCATGGACCATGCATATTGATTATAAATGCAACGTGGATATGGCTCCAGTTCATGGAGGTCCTGGTAAGGTGAGAGCCGCTTTGATTTCTATTATTATGAGTTTCTATTTTACTAAAGACTCAATATGTCAGTTGCTAAAATTGGAAAAAAAGTAATTACCCCTCTTCTTAAATATCTACTGGGAATTTTCTTGTGTTAAGCATTAGTGATGTATTGAAATTATACTCTTAAATTATTTTCCTGCGACATATAGAAATTTGAAAAAGGAGGCGAGCCGGAACAGTGGTAAAATTGTTTCTTTATAACTGCAAGGTTATGGATTCGAATCCAGAAAACAGCATCTTTGCAAGTATGCAATGGTAAGGCTACGTACAAGGATTTCCTCCACTCTACACTCATTAGTAGGGTTTAACGGGGAGTGGTTTTTTTTTATATAGAAATTTGAAATCCCTATATTTGGTGTAAATTAGAAATGGCAACAAGGTCTAAAATGGTGTGACATTTGATCCATGTAACTGACCAAGTGGGAAAAGGGAAAGGCTTTTTGTTGTTGTTGTGGTGGTTATTAATTCCTGTAAGGAACTTGCAGATATACTTGGTAGCTGAAAACAGGATATTGAGGATTAATTATGGAAACATTGGAACTTCTGAGCCTTCCTTAGATGTTTTCTTGGAAGAGGCTGAAATTATTGGGCTCTCAGTAAGCACATTAAGCTCAATTGTATTCATCAATGTCAAGAATCGAGGACTCTTTGCATATATGTCACATGGGCGTTTGCTTTGGAGTGTAGGACCTGTGCTTTATCAATTTGGTTACCGTCAAGGATGCAGGAAAAATATTACAGATTGTTACTTTGCATCAGTTCCTGTGCTTGATCAATGCGAGGCTAGTATATATGTAAGCTTTACTCATCCTTGATTTTTTGTAATATGTATTCTTCAATTTGGTTCTAGCAATGATGACGGCAAGTCCAATGATAAAGTTGTTCCTGTGTAACCGAAAGGTCACATAAATTTTTATCGATGAAATAGCCTTTTTACAAAATGCAATGGTAAAATTGCGTACAATGAATATTTCACCCCTACCCTTGCAAGTTAGGGTTTAATGGAGAGTTGTTTTTTTTATCTCTAGCAGTGAAGTACATATTGAATAATGGCTTTTGGAACTATTATGATTTTGATGGCTGCGAACAAATTCTTATGTAGTTTATATCACAAGGGGTAGACACTGGCAATGTGGAAAAGGGCTATATGTTATAATTCAGTAATAGTAATTGAACCTATAATTGACACTAATTATGTCATGAAATGGCAACACTTATTTTTTTAATTTGAGTAGTATGTTAGTTACTGAAGGAGGTGAACCGGAGCAGTGATACAACTGTTCCTTCATGACTGAAAGGTTATAGGTTCGAATCTAAGAAACAGCATCTTTGCAATTATGTAAAGATAAGGCTGCGTACAATGATTTCCTTCACTCTGGGAGTGGTTTTTTTTTTTTTTAGTATGTTAGTTACTGTCTGAAAGTGTGATGTGTAGTTTTCTTATATGATAAACCTTTCATTTCCCTGGATTTATGTTACTTACTTTGAAAGTACATATGTTTTTGCACTTAGCAGATCTCAAACACAGAAGGAGAACTCTATAGTTTATCAGTTCGTAGCCGTCACTTTAGATGGATACAGGATTTTAGTTCATTAGACAAAAATTTCACCATCACTGCTGGAAATAATGGTCATCTCTATGTAACAGTTCCAGCAAGGGCTCTTGTATTGGCTCTAGATGTCTTTTCAGGTAATGTCTTGTGGCAGAGAAGTGTAGGGCCATTAAGCAAAGTTGACTCTGAACCTGTAGTGGACTCTAATGGTAAGTCCTTTTCTCTTTTAAGATTGATTATTTTTAACTTCTAAGCATTACTCATTGAAAACATAATTTCATTATGAAATTCAATTTGTTATATCTGAGTCTATCAATTAGTGAAGGCATGATCAATGTTTTAACAAATATCTATGGAAATTTTGTAAAGAGAGGTTAAAATTTCTTTGCATGCAGCAAATAGATTCCTTATAGTACACTTTCTTCTTCATTTATGGCAGTTCTTCTGAGAGTACCTTTGGTTTCCTTTATCTCACTCTCTCTTTGCATGAATCCCTTTTGCAAGTTACTGCATGCTATGATCTGTATGAAGGATCTATCTTTATATCCATTACATGCATAAATTTTGATACCTAAATTAGAATTTTATATCATTCTATCATAATGGAATAGTCTTCTCTAATTTTTATTCCTAATATTTTCTGGCATATCTTGACAATTTATGCATAATAGTGCAGCATCTATATTTCCTCATAGTTGCCCCTTGTATTTATAATGTCTTTGTTTCACATATAAACTTTTGCATTAATCTGATAAAATATCTTAACAACCAATGTTTTGTGGTATATAAACTTACTTTGCTGGAGCACACGATGTAACAGGATGGGTGTCTATTGGTTCATTGGATGGATTCCTATACTCATTTTCGCCAACTGGGGTTCTTAAGAAATTCTCAAGAAAAAATACAGAAAACTCTCTGGTTCAAGTTGGTCCTTTTCTTGATTGCTCTGGATTTGCAGTCTATAGTTCACAAACAGAAATGGAAGGAAAAGTTAGCCACACTATTGGTGAATACACAGTTGTTTCAGCAATTAGACCTAAAGCTGCATTATTCACTATGCTGGTTCCTGCAACTGGATCAATCTATTGGTCTGAAGGCTATCCTGGTACATGTATTCTCAGTCATTTCCACATGACTCTTTGCATTGGAAATAAAGTTTGCATAACAGCACACTGTATAGTTTTCTGAGTGGTTAATTCAATCAGGTCAACTTTCAACTTTATTATCCAAGAGTGATCTAAGTCAGTTTGTAGTGGATGAGGAGATTTTTCTTGCTTTCCTTGCCGCCTCAAGTAAGAGTGCACTCTCTTAACTAATCATATTATTTTTCTTTTGATCAATGTGCCTATTAAATCAACAGATGAGAAATTGGACATTTGCCTTTGACATCTTGCAGATAGTTAGTTATTCATTTAAGGAAGTAACAAATTGGATAGCTCAAAATATCATGGACTATTTACTTTTGAGAATTATATGTTTATAATCAAGTAGTTTGTTTGAATGAACTAATGACTTGGTCCTGATATTCAATGCAGTGATTGGCACCCCACTACAATGCCGTACTATAGGTACAGATATTTTCTACACCTACAATACCTTTAGATAAATAATCAGTATTTTAACCACTACTACAAATGCAAATCTAAAATACAGCTGTTGCATCATATTATTAATCCTTAAGTGCCATCCATTATTGATGAGAATCCCTTCTAGCTTCTATACATTTTAAGACTATTCTTTCTTGATACCAAAGAAAAACGTTTCTAACCCCCAAGATTAGCTCAGTTGGCAAATGAGCTTCCAAGAATTTGCTTGGGTCAGGGGTTCAAGCCCTGTCTCAAGCAAATTTTTGGAAGATCTTTGGGGGTCAGAGGACGTGCCTGTGCCTCTCTCCTCGAAGGGGGATTAGTCTTATCCTTCCTCTGGTAGCGAAGCTCAATACACCCGCTGTTCTAATGAGAAGGTAGTCTTCGGGCCATACTCCGAGGACAAGGTGACCGGATGAGGTTGAATGGGGATATCCTCGAGGTTATACCAAAAAAAAAGAAAAACGTTTCTTTTCTCCAAACTTTTTTAACTGTTCTTCTTTCTATGCACAATAATTGCATTGATTTGGTGCAACTAGGTATTCTTAAATAAGACTGTAATGACTTATAGCAGGAATCTAACAAATATGAGTTACTTGATATTAATTAATAAACTATTCAATTGATACTTACCCTTTGCTTTATGCACTTTGTTGAAATTATTAAATACTAATAGACCTTAGATCTGCTGAGCCTAATTTCTCATCACTTTATAGGTCAGAAGCTTGCATCTAGCTGCTCTCAATCAAGGACCAAGCTTGTCAGCATCTATACAGGTGATATACGAGTCTGTAAATTAACTAGAGAATGCTGCAACATTTAGAAAACTGAGTATATTTAAGTTTTTTGTAGGCAACGAAAGGGCAATAGTGTTGTTTCTGCTCTTTGAGTCTGCTCTCTTGGCGGTACTAATTGGACTTGTAAGATTCTTCTGTACATTCTGGGCAAAAAAGAAGCTTAAAGATCAAGGCCTTGGAAGTTTCCTTGACAAGAGAGTAAGTTCGAAATCTTTTGTTTGTTCTTCTTCTTCTCCTTCCCCTTACTCTTTCTTTTTAGAGTAAAGACATTTTTGGGCCCCTAACAAAAAACATGATTCTCACTTTCGTCCTTTACAAAAAAAAAATTAACTTTTGGTCCCTCTACAATTCCAGTTCTTTGAAAATACGGTCCCTCAGAAATTCAATAAAGACCCAATTTAGTCCCTTAAAAAAGACTAATATGGGTAAATTTTTTGTATGGGACGAAAATGGAGACCGTATTTTTTGTTAGGGATCCAAAAAGAGATTTATTCTTCTTTTTATGTATTACTTCTCCACCAAGTAAGAATGTACTTGTAGAATATAAATATATTAAAAATATAATAAAGTCATTCATGTGCCTTAATTTAAGTTTTTAAACTTTTGGGATAATTAGTTTGTGACATGGTATCAAAGCCTCTATAGTTAAGAGGTCTAGAGTTCGATCCTTGTCATCTCATTCTTCTAATAAAAAATTAAATTTCGATATAGGATAGGTGGGGCTTTTGTATTGCTCACGCGTCAAGTTCAAAGGCTCTTGCACTAAGAGTGTGTTAGATATAGTATGAATATGTTAGCGATATAATAAAACCATTCGTGTGCCTTCATCTAATAACTTAAAATTTTGGAATAGTTGGTTCATAATACACTTATTTTTACCAATTGGACTTTTCAGCGCTCTCTTCAGCTCCAAAAGAAAGCTTTGGATAGGACAATTACTGAGCTTGATCAAAAAGCTGAGGAGGAAGCAGTGGACAATGAAGTTTTTGAAAAGGTGGGTGATATAGTAAGAAAAAGGGAAAGCATAGAGAGGAAGCTCTCAACCACATATAGTTTGGGTAGGGACAGGAGTGACTCACAACCAAAACCTATGCTTCCTTTACATATGGGAAAAACAAAAAGCTACTCATTTCAGGGTGCAAAGCTGCAGAAACTGACAATGTTCCACACATTAAGTGATACATCTTCAAGTGAAAGCAGCACTGAAGGAGATACTAGCATGCTTGAAGGCATGGACTTATTGGCTAAGGCCAAAGCAAAGTCACCTATGGTGGAGGATACTTCAACTTCAAGTAATGAAGAGTTTAGAAGGAGAAGTCCTTCAGACATAACATGACTTGAAGAGTGAAAAGGAGAGTCTATGCAGAAAAGGAGCACCAGCACTTCCTTTGAAGAGAAGAACAATCTTGTCTTCTATTCTGTTGTTATACTAATAATTCTGGTTGTTAAATCATGTACAAACTAGATGGCATTTAAAAAGAAAAAGAAAAAAGAATACTATTAAAAACAACCCTCTTGTATTTTTATGAAAAGAAAAACAATATTATTTGTTTATTTTTTTAAAAATTATTCCACCACCTATTTCGAACATTGACAATAGTTACTTCTTACATAGAAATTTGGAGGATTCTTGATAGTTTGTAGAAGATAATAAATTTAAATTCCCATACCATTATATTAAAACTTCTAGTTATTTTTATTAGAATTGAAAATTAACTTATTTAATTTTTTACATTTTTTTTAAAAAAAATCTCTCAAACAATTTGCATAGAGCGTATCATGGTGCTGCTGTCATTGTCAAATTCTTTCTTTGAATACAAATGCGCACAAGAATTCTGAAGTTTAGAAAATTGCAATTATACTTCTAATGTTGTTATAAAAAGAATTTTTCTGCAGCAGATACATATTTATCAGGATATAAGCTCGGATCTTGACATTTTTTTTTTTTTTTTAAATTCAATGGATTCTATTTTTTTGAACTGCTGCAAAATTTTGCTTTTTGCATTAATTGCAGAAAAAAAAGAACTCTTAAAAAATACGATCATTTATAATAAAATTAGGGAAAGGATTAACTTGTACAAGTGAGTTCCATTTTCCTGTGTTTGCTGTAAAATTTTGTTTTCTGTAGGAACTACAGAAAACCCTTAGAAAAATACAATCATTTATAATAAAATTAAAGGATGCTATGCCAAAAAAACAAGTACATAAGAAACATGTGATACAAACTAATTAGAGAAAGAATTAACTTGTACAAGTGTTTTTAGAAATTTAAATTTTGCATTTTTTATACATGATTAAATTTTATTTTCCTATGCACATATTGTAAATATATAAACATTTGAAATAAACTTATTTTTTAATCTTTTTCTTTAATAAATTTCATTTGTTATTAATCTGTTAATAATTGGATTCACATTAAGAAAATATGGATACGATTAAAAAAACTGAAAAAAAATATATAGAAATATTAAGGCTCAAATAGAAAGAAAACGGTATTTACAAAAATTGAACGACATTCAAATTAAAAAAAAAATTTATAACAAGAAATTCACTTTCAAGCATGAATAATCAAATTTAATATATGAAGTTAATGTAACATCAAGATCTGTAACACCTCAATTCTTACAGGATTTAAATTTATAAGGAACCTCAACCTATTCAATACATAAAAGTGAATGTAACATGAAGACCTAGGTAACACCTCGCATTTTGATAGGATCTAAATTTTTAAGTAACCTCAATCTATTTCTCCTAAGAACTATGTGACTCAATGAATGAAGAGTTTGAGGTATATGCATACTATAGCCAGAGGAGAAGTTCATGAATGAGAAATACAATAAATACTATATGAACAAGTGAAGGCCAATTGATGATGAGAACCCTGACAGTTGCAAAGCTTAGAAGGGACTGATCATGCGAGCCAACTTTAATAAAATCTCAGGAACAAGCCGTCTTCTTGTGGGTGCAGTGCCGTCCTTTGCAAGAGCATCACTGTCATTGGGATGTATGATACCAACTACATGATCAAATAGGTCATCTTTACCACCTCGAAGTGGATCCTGTACAGCATGGTTGAGAATCAGAAGTTCATAGATTAAACTAAAGGCAGAGACAGAAAATTTTGTGAAGGAGGGCGAAATCGCTAATGTAATATTCATTGTAAGTTACAACTACCTATGTTATCAAAAGAACAGAAATGATCTTCACAACTGAAGACTTTTAAGAATTTGTCGGGGGACAAACACTTCTTATATAACCAAAAACATCACAAATGACGCTCACAACTAAAGACCTATATAAATTTGAAGGGGAAGACCGCCCTCCCTCACTCCACCAGTCACATAGTTGTCATAAAAGGATGAGCCTTGGAGCAACAATAAGGTTGTTCCTTGTGACCGGAAGGTCACGAGTTCGAATCTGAAAAACAGTTTGTTTCCAAAATACAAGGGCAATATTGCATATAATCGATCCTTACCCCTACCCTTGCAAATAATGGAGTCTTATGCATTAGAATTTTCCTTTTTTCCCTTTGCAGCACATAGTTGTCATCACAATCAATGATGAGGATGACATCAGTCAACTAAAACAGCACCTATTCTGTCACTTTCATACATGGGTGGAAATAGATAGGAAAGCCTATTAGGGCCTACGGTCTAGCTTATTTTTGGTCGAGTCTATTTAGTACATAAGTCTGTATTATTAAGTGTACAAAAATTTGAAATTAGAGACAAAAGGAAATTGGCATCACTATTAACTTACTTGGAGAAACAAATCTGTATGAGTTTTCCCATCATACAGAATAAGCTCAGCTCTTGCCCCTGCCTTCTTAAGAGCATCAGCAAACCGTTCACTGCAAACAATAACTTTTTAATATCTAAATGTGAAACAAATGACACTGACACTTCCACGTAAATATTTGAAAGTCTAGCAAAGAAAATTATCAAATTGCAGTTTTCATTTATAAGCATAGAATTCCATCGTGGTGTTTTGTCCTTGCAGGTAACACAATACTGCATAAATGAAAGGATGAACCACAATGTCATAAAAGTTATTTGATTTGAGGATTAACTAATAGTCATCAAACTCTGCCTATGCCGTGCTTTTTTGCCAATCTTTACACAGCTGGTTTCAAGGCTGGATAAAAGAAGAGGATTTTGTTAGGCAGTTGAGAGCCAACCTTGAACTCTGTTGAATCTTTATGATATAACAGTAGTCATCAGGTTTTATTTATAGCATGAAAATACAGCTTATGAGTATATTCTTCAATACAGTAAAAGAATATGATACCCCAATGAATTTCAAGTGTATACGGTATATACTAACCTGGCAACTGATGGTATGGAATAATCTGCAGTCCCATGGAATAAAATTATAGGGGGCAAGAGAGGAATTGAACATTTGATGCATGGATCTTGAATTTTGATTTCAGGAGAAAATTTCTTCAAAGATTGTTCACCTTCCATTACGCTGCATGATAATCGCAGTTATATGGAGGGAAAAAACTTTAAGATCCTCATAATTGTAATGAAACTCAGCTATTTGGGACACACCTTAAAAAGATGGAACGATACAAGCCTCGATTGTGGAAGTGATCAACTAAATCCAACAAGTTGTATCTGTAGACATGCGTCGAAAGGGTTAATAGATGATCCCTCAACATGTATAAACCAATTGATCAGGGAACATAATTCAGAATCACAGTTGTCATTGATCAGACTTCTACACACACAAAAAGCCTGAAACCACTCTTTTATTTTTAATCTCTGCCTTGAGAAAAGCAAAAAGAACATGAAAAAAGATTATGGAAACATACAAGAGACCAAACGTTGTACCAAGAGTCTCCACTAATTTTCTGATCACTTAAGTATACAGATAAGAGGGCAAGCTTGGAGCAGTGATAAGGTTGCGTACAACGATTGCCCTTATCCCTACCCTCGCCAGTCAAAATTTAATGGAGAGTGGTTTTAAGTACATAGATCAAATAATTTTCCGCCTCTACAATAAGTGGGTGCCTTTTGCAAAACTAGGCTTGATGGACATAACCATGATCATTAGCAACCACAAGATCAATACATTTGTGAAATGACTTTTCATTAACATGAACACAATCACTGCCCAAAAGTCAACATTGACATTCAATTTTGAAAAATGTGAAATCTGTGGTTTTTCTGTCACAAAACTAATTCTTAAGATAGTTCATTTAGATTTAAATCCTTTTTAATGGTTTCACTTAAAAGTTTTACTTGGTCTTCTTTTACCTTTATATTGCCGTCCTCTATCTGATCAAATCTTTTAATTGGGCTTTTATTGATCTTCTTACATGTTGAGACCATCTTAAGGCGTGATTCTACCATCTTTTCCTCAATAGGCGCCACTCCTAATTTCTCTCTAATACATTCATTTCTGATCTTTTTCCCCCCCTAGTATGGCCACTCGTCTAACATAACATTATCATCTTTGCAACACTTATCTTATGCTCTTGTTGGCTCTTTATGACCCAACATTTAGTACCATTTGGTCTTATGGCAGGGCAGCGCAGTGCAGTAAAATTTTCCTATTAGCTAGGAAGCTTTCTATCATAAATAACATCAATAGTGGATGACATGAAATTCTACGAAGGAACTACACCTATGTTTTATACACAATCCAGAAAGAACTGAGATATATTATTTAAATTGACCATTTCCACATAATTCAGTACATGCCCATGAAACGCTAGCCACAATGTCTTACCCTCCAGATAAACCAAAATAAGCTTTTATCTGGGAAATGCTCCAAGAAACACTATCTCCTTTTCTAGATTCTCTGGTTGCTTGGTCCAGCAAAGCACAAGAAGAAATATGAGCACCGGCAGATTGCCCCATTAGATAAATCCTATGACATAATTATCAACAAAAAAGAAAAGATCAATCTCATAGAATGTCTAAAGATATGATGAAAAGGAACCTTATATAGTAGTAGCATGTCACCTATCAGGGTCGCCTCCATAATTGGCTATGTTGTTGATGACGAAGGAAATTCCCTGAGAAGTATCATTCACCATGTCACTGATAGTTCCTTGAGGAAAATTTCTGCATTTTCAAATAAATGAAGATCTATTAAGTCTGAATGTAGGATAAACTTTGCAAATTAAATCTAACAAATCTTCTACCCTTTAAGTTATAATAGTCTATAAAAGAAAGCTCCGTTACCTCGAAACAACTATGTACATTCTAAGCTACAGAACATTTTAAGATATCAATTACGGATATGCTTATCCTAAGGGTGATGTACTACATTTTATTTTTAAAAATTAACAAATAACTCAAGTAAGATATGCATCACTGAACACCATTAAGTTTAGGAACCAGTGTGAGGCAAACATCCTTGTGGTAATGACTTACGAATAGCCTAGACTCAATGGCCTAAAAATAGACTATAAAATGCACCCAATTTGTCCATCAGAATACCTCAAAAATAGAGGAAGTCGGACCAAAGGTAAATTGTAGACTCAATCGTGCACTGCTTGAACTGAGACCAGGTACCTGTAATCAATGCATGCCACCATAATGTCTCTTTCTGCCAACTGTAGTCCTAAAAGTGAGCCCCATGCTTTATACCTAAATCAAAATCCAAATGAAATCATTTAATTTTAAAAAGATAAAGATAGATGAACTCATGTATGTGTGTGTACATTTAAATTGTTCCATGTCATGGTGTTGGAGACAAATTATTTTTGGCATGAGAAAGTGATGAAGAATTCAGACTAACTGTTACATCAACCGAGTCCTCCAAGACAATGTCTGAATTTTAAAAATTCAATTTCAATCACCTGGTATACTCCTTAAATGAAGCAGAAATCACAACCAGTTAAATTATGTTGTCCCATGTACACCCAAGAGTTCTTTTGTATATTTCAACACAAAATCTACAACATGAAGTTATTTTCAGCTTAAGAATTTAAAGCACAGACAACACTGCTTGCCACTTGAAAAGATATGGCATTTCCAACAGCATAGGAATCCTTGCACTATAGCTTAGTGACAGAATTATTCCAAGTATAATCCTAAAGTTGTTTGTAAAATTTGAAATTGCAACATATGGTCAGTTGGGGAAGAGTTCTGTTCTTATGAAGTCAGCAGCAGTGTGCTATTGCAGAAATGGAAAGGTTTAACATGCAAAAAGGAATTACTAAAATATGCACTGAATAAGAATCAACACCATACAGAGTAAATTAACACATGAATTCAAGCAAAACCACAGATATATTTCAAACCACTCACCCAATAATCCATGCTCCCCCAGTTACAAATATCAAAACTGGCTTAGGTTCACTGATATCAGCAGGTAGATACAGATCCAACCTGCAAAACCACAAGAATATTGGGCACACAATACATGGAATGACCAACATCACAAGATAGATTTACCAGTGTTTGAATTCACCTGTTTCTAGGCTGATCTCCATAAACAATGCTTCGCTTTACCTTGCTTGAGAAGTAATAATAATATGCAACTGCAGAAAGTCAACAGTAAGAGAGAGAGAGAGAGAGAGAGAGAGAGAAAGGAAAGAGAGCAAGCAAACAAAAGAACCATTTTCTATTAATGTAGCCAGATATAAAATTTGTGAGTGAAGATTCCCACCCCTTCCCAAGTTGAAGGAGAGATGGCAGCATGTAATATATAGAAGAACCAAGTATCAGTATGGGCAATAGGAGAATCTGTTAGGCATTTAATATCATTTATTAGCTTCCATTAACAAAAAGATTAGATTGGTATCAATTAATCCCGATTGATACTGTAAAGAACCAATTCAACCCAAAAGCTTAAGTTGTTGGGTGAGACTATATTAATGATTTTATATATTTCAACACGCCCCCTCACACGAGAGCCCACTGGGCTTGAAGAGTGAACAATGCACAAGCTCACCTACCTGTGCGAAGAAAGAAATTCCACTTGAAAGAAAATGAGGGGCGGTGAGGATCGAACCCGGTACACCGAGGCTCTGATACCATGTAAAGAACCAATTCAACCCAAAAGCTTAAGCTGTTCGGTGAGACTATATTAATGGTTTTATATATTTCAACAGATACCAATTAGGAATAGCACTTATTGTCTTTGACGTTATAGCATTTCAATTCCTTGTTATAAAATGTCAATTGGCTGACTGGAATGAAGAAGATAATTATTCCTCCCAACAATTCTCTGATTCTCTCACTGTGAAGCAATCTCTCATTCTTGCCCCTTTCTCCCCCTTCCTCTCTAATTTCAATATAAATTCACTTAATATTTTGGTGCTTTCATTGACTCTCATTCCCATCATGCCGGTAACACAATCTCAAGAGAACGAGGAGGCAATCGTAGAATTATGCCACGATTTCTGTGAGTTACAAACCTCTTTCACTGCATTCCAAACCAAACAATTGACGGTGGAAACTCTTACGGGTTTACTAAACAAGAGGGATGAGCATCTCAAGGCCGGCCTTTGACCCATGTAAAGAACCTTGGGATACACCACCCCAAAAGCTAGCTCAAAGGGTGGGAGTGCCCAATGCCTTATAAACTACACATTAGTTGCACATACAACCAATGTGGGACTATATATCTCAACACGCCCCCTCACACAAGAACCCGTTGGGCTTGAAGAGTTGACAATGCAACAGGCCCAGCCTACCTGTGTTAAGAAATGCCACAAGAGAAAGTGGGGGGCGGCGAGGCTCTGATACCATGTAAAGAACCTTGAGGTCACCACCCCAAAAGCTAGCTCAAAGGGTGGGAGTGCCCAAGACCTTATAAACTCCACAATAGTTGCACATACAACCAATGTGGGACTATATATCTCAACAACCCACAACCTCAACACCAGGTCTTCTGGGTCATAGTCCCCAATGGCCACCGCCTTCCAATGAGCCCCCATTACAAGGCCTTAGCATATGCCTCATGTTTCCATGCTTTTTTTTCCAGGTGATCCAATAGTACAACTTTTAAATGTGGACCACAATTTTCATTATTAGAACACACACCCGGATGATCAACTACTTTTGAATGCAATACATGTCGACATGCCAGCACAACATGGTACCAAGGCCTTTTGGGTGATGGTCTCATAATCAATTGGGACACATTTGCAGGCATAATTTGTCCTTGATTTGGCTCACGCCAAGCTTTCTCAAATAGGTTCTGTGCTAGATTATCAAGCAGCCTTTGAAAATTTGGCAAACAAGGTGCAAGGTTTTGCTCCTGACCATTTGAAGAGTTTCTTTAATGCTCAAAATCTGAATGGCTGAACAAACTCACCGACCAGTCAATGATGCATTCGCATTAGCATGCATGTATGAGCCTCAACTTAGCAAGTCGCACCTCAGTAATCCACCATTTTAGCCACCGTCCTCGACAACACCAAGCCCGACAGCCCTTGCCGCCTCCGAGTCCCTTGTCACACGATTTACTATCAAACGTCTGACAAAGGAAGAGATGCAGGTGTAAAATGAAAATGGACTATGCTTCAATTGCAACGAGAAGTTTGTCTGCAAAAATTGATGCAAAAGCTAGGCTCTTTTATATTTGGAGGGTCTTGGCACCATGGAGGATTGTACGCTACCACTCGAGCCTGTTGAACTGGATCCACTTGACTCATTCACATGTCGAGTCTCGACTTGAGGACAAGTCGCATATGATAGGGAAACGAATGTTAGGCATTTATTAGCGTCCATTAGTAAAATGATTAGATTGGTGTCAATTAATGTTCATTGATATCAATTAGGAATGGCATTTATTCTCTTTACCGTTTTAGCATTTCAAATCCTTCTTATAAACTGCCAATTGACTGAAAGGAATGAAGAAGAAAATTACTTCCTTCCAACAATTCTCTAATCCCCTCTCTCTCAATCAGTCTATCATTCTTGCCTCTTTCTCCCTTCCTCTCTGATTTCAATAAAAATTTACTTAATAGAATTAGATCATGAAAAAGCAAGATTATCATTGGGCACATCACTGACTATTTTAAGTAAACAGAATGTATAAGAAAGTATATGATGAGTTATACCCATGAAGCTAAAGCTTCCACAGTAAATTTACAAAGCTTAACATTTACCATTAGTAGAGATAAGAAAGGAGAACTGCACAATTATATTGAACAAACCTTGTAGGAAACCAGGCATAAGTAGCATGGCATAACATCCAAGGGCAAGTAATTTTGTAATCCAACGGGAACCAATCCTGAATAAATTATCAATGCAAAATCAGACACGCCACAAGTTTCTATGTCACAACAAAATAATCCTTATGGCTAGATATATAGAAACTCTTGTATCAGGAGTTTGGTGCATATGTTTTGAGAGGAATGCTAAAACATTCAAGAAGCAATATTAGTATCTGCATATTCTTTTGAATAGGATTGCTTACTTCTCTTATTCTGCTTTGGGAGTTTATTTTCTTGCAGGAATTTAGGAAAATTCAGGAAAATACTAATGAAATATTTGAGTTTTTCCCAAAATTGTTGGATGTGTGTATATGAACTGTTTTAGGGTTACAAATGAGATTATGAAAAGTGATGAACAACTTTTGGAAATTTGTTTGACCATAGTTCAAGAAAGCAGCAAACAAAAGGGCCTTGCTTGTAGTTCCCCAGTCGAGGTTTTGTTTGAGACAATTTCTTTCTTCAAATTGTACCTAGCTAACCCTTTCAGCTTCCTCTTCCATGTATTGAGGCATTGCAACCTTTCCATTTATATAAGATTTTGGCAGTATTCTTTTCCTTATTGCATTCATTTACACTTTTGCCTACTTGTGTTACTTTTCCAATAATACATTTCCTAACACATTGAGACCATAGTTTATCAATAGTGCCGCTATAGAGGCATAGCATTGCGTAGCGGCCCCCTCCTGCCGTTTTGAAGCTACTATGCTACGATTTTGTGTATCACAGCTAAAATCAAGGGAAATAGCAGGCTATAGCACCAATCCTTTGAAGGTAAGATAAAGATCCCTCTTTTCCTCTCCGTGTGCAATGTTCTAGCAGCAATTTATGGGGGGAAATCGAACTTTCTACCCCTTTTTTCCTGAGGTATGTTACCGCAATGACCATCTTCTAGCAAAACTCTACCGAGCTCTCTCTTTTCTAGTCACCAACTAATTGCTTTCTCTCTCTCTCTCTCTCTCTCTCTCGTTTGTTCCAACAAGCCCGCCACTTGGTGGCAGTTTTCTGGCCTATGCTCTGTCCAAGTTCTGCAAGAACACCTTAGTTTGCACTTTGTTCCTCTATTCTGGCCACTGCCTCTGTAAGTACTTTGATATTGAATTTTGATTATTAATTATGAATGTCTAATTTTGGATACTTTTTATTTTGGGTTTAACATTTCTGTTTTGCAGCAGATTTTTTTTTTCTGCCACACTCACATCAAAATGCGTGGATTCCACAATTTTATTTTATTTTTTCTGTTTTCTTTATAATGGAACTCATTCACTTTGTGAGTGTGGTAGAGAAAAAAAATTTGTAGCAAAAACTGAAACATTTTTCCCCTTCATTGTTTATCTTTTATGCATGTATAGTATAACTTTGTATAGCATTTATATAAACTTCAACATAGTGGCTATGCTGCTACCTGCTATCCCACTATAGCGGTTTTGAGGTGTGCTGTTATGCTGTTCAAGATTGATAATTGTGATTGAGACTCCATTTGAATGAGCTTGTTTTTTAGATTATTTAGGCTTATCTACTGGAATAAGCACTTATAATTAAAGCATTTCAAAAAACCTCTATAAGTTGTGTTTGCCTTATTTTCATGAGAGAGGTTATACTTGCAACCTTTTTTCACTTACAACCTCTTAGAACTCAATCTTAATCGTTAATTTCCGCAATCTAACGTTTATAATTTATTGGGTTATAATTATTAAATTCTAATAAATTATAACCGTTAGATTGACGGAAATTAACGGTTAAGATTGGGTTGTAAAAGGTTATAAGTGAAAAAAGGTTATAAGTATAACCTTTCTCTGTTTCATAAGCTACAAATTGAAGCTTAAAGCTTAGCCTAATAAAAACAGCTTAGGCAGTAACTCTGTGTAAAAATAATTATGACTAAATTAACTATGATAAGTTATTAAAATCTCATCCATGCATAAGCACTCGTTGAAGGTTCCTATCCAAATCCAATTCAACTCATTTTAGCATATCTTCGGAAAACAATTATTTCTGAACAAAATCACTCTATTTTCAAAGTTCACTCAGAGAGCTTCTAATCAAAAGTTTTTTTTGTAACCTAAAATAAACTAAGTCAAACACTGCAATGGATTTATCACAGTAACAAACTCTAGTTGGCAGAAAAAAAAGTGTGAAATGAAAAACGAAAGAGAGATTAACCAAAGTTCGAAGTACGTACCCGAGATACCGAAGAAGCGTGAAGGCGAGACGTGTAATCAAGTAGGTCTCCGAGGCGACATGACCAATATCTTTCCTGAAAGAGCTTTGCCGAGCAGGGCGATGCCGGTGGCCGTTTTTTCCGGCGACTCGCCGGTGCTTCTCAAGGTGGTTGTTAGGAATGGACTCAGCCAGAGAGTGGGTGTCGACACCGTCCACCGCCGGGAGTACGCGACGGCGATCGGAGAGAGCGGCCATCTAGATACGGAATCAGATATGGGATTGGATCGGAAAAATAAATTATTGCATGCGTGAGTTGGTTTCAGTAGCGCGAATGTTGCTTAACTATGTATAGATATGGACAGGGTTGCTTTTTCAAAAACATATCAAACATAGCATTGGTAAGCGAAAAAAAAGGCATATATACCGTCGTTTGATAAGAAACATTTTGTCATTTTTTTTTTTTTTTGAGATACAAATTATGTAATTTAAAATGACATATATCCTCTAAAAAAAATAAAATATGTCGTTTAAATTGACACACTTTTTATATACGGAAAAAGTGTTTGTCATTTTAAATGACAGAAAGTTATGTCATTTAAGAAAGATATAGTCAGAGAAAATTTGAATTTTAAATTAAAAAAAATCACTCACTTTCTCTCTCCCGTGATTTTCGTTTTTCTGTGTTTATCTCTCTCTTAAAATGACATAACTTATGTCATTTAAAATGACAAACATCAAACCCTTTATATATATATATATATATATGAAAAACATTTTCTCATGTTATATGAGATTTTAATTTTTCATGTAATGATCCTAAGATTTGCGTGCAAAGCTTTTTTTTTCTTTTTTCTCTTTTTTAATAAGGGAAAAATATTTTTGCAATTAATGCAGACAAGTTATCTACATTTATTCCCAAAACGACGTCATTTTGGTATTGAAATTTTAAAAAATAATAAATATAAAGACTATTATAACTCTGAAATAAATTAAAATAACAAAAACACTATGATTTTCGCTCCAAAACGACCACGTATTGAGGTTACTGCAGATAAGTTATCTGCAGTAACTGCAGAAAAAGTGAACATTTTTAATAAATGTGGAGTCCACCACTAGTTGAGTCACAACATGATAATTTAATTCTCATGCAATATGAGAAAATCAAACCCCGATATATATATATATATATATATATATATATATATATATATATATATATGGGTCAGGATCATTTTACACCAGTGTAAGTTACACTCTCAATCTTATCCGTTGATTCCATTTATATCTAACGGCTAAATTTTTTTAGTAATGTGAGCCATTGAATACAAGTGGATCAATGGTCAAGATTGAGTGTAAGACTTCTAACTCTTACACCGGTGTAAGAATATCATGCCCCTATATATATATATATATGAGTGAGGATATTTTATCTACCAAAATTTCTTACTACTAGCTTACTACCCATCACATCACCATTGGATCAAAAAGAGAGAATGTTAAAAAGTTTTTGAAGAGAGAGAAAATGTTAATCTAATGATGATTAGATAGGTAGTAAGTTGGTAGTTAAAAATTTTGATAGTGAGAATATCCATCCTCTATATATATATATATATATATATATATGAGTGTGATTTAACTTTTCTTCTAGATAAAGTTATTTTTTACAATTTTCAAATCGATGTCATTTTGAGATTTACAATAAAAAATAAAGAATATTTTAGTATAATACATGTTATTAAATGAAAGTAAAAATTTTAAAATACCTTTTATTTTTATTCTAAATCCAATATTTTGGGTTACAGAAGCTAATTTTATGTTTTATAATAGGAGAAACACTTCTCCTATATATGTATATATATCTAATTAATATTTAAAAACAAATTTTGGAGGGTTTTGTAGTGCAAAATAAATTTAATCCAAGAAGAGAATGAATTTTCTTATGTCCATTAAAAGGTTGGATTTCTTGCTATTTTGATAGCGTGTCAATAAGTTGCTTGAAGAAAGTGCCGATCCGCATAGCAACTTTTATTTTTTTTCTGTCCTCACTTATGATTAATATTTAGTATTTAATATAATAATATTTTATCAATACATAAGAGAAATAATTTTGTTTTATAAGAATAATAATAATTTATATTTTTATAAAAATAAATAGATAATATACATGATTTTTTATTTTTTTTAAAAAAATTCTTAAAAATTATATTTTAATTTAATATAAAAAATAAAATATTGATAAGAAAAGCGAGAAAGTAAAAGCAGCATGAACTTGTTCACCAAAAAAAAAATGTTTTGGTCAGAACGCGGGAAAATTGCATGTATTGAATATTTTAGCTTAATAAATAATTTTTTAATAATATTTTTGGAAAAATTACTTTTCCTTAATATTTTTGGAAATTATAATTTTCGGGCATCAAAATTTTTTCCTATATCAAACATTTTCTTAATGCTAACGGTGCATTTTTTGGGAGAAAATATTTCAATCGGTTCATTGTTTTGCAACTAATTTAATTCGGGACGGATCCAAGATTAAGACTTTAAACCTCTCTCACCGGTGCATCTTTCACTTATAACATGACATATATCTCATTTTTTATCAAATTGTTCTCTTGCCTAATTTTAAAATAAATTATTTATTAATAATTTAATAAAATGAAAACATGTATCATATGGTGAAAGGAAGATGCTCTAAAAATTCAAAGTAAGACACGGCACTGAGAGGTTGGGGATTGGATGTTGTGTTGCCAGATGTTAGTCCACCACATTTTTGGTCCACTCGTTAAGCCGTTAACTTTGAACCAATTGAAGTTTTTTTTTTTTTTTTTTAATTTTATTTTGGTACAATATTCGAGACCTGGCTTAACGGATATCTTTCTTCGGTACCTTAATAACTAAGAAATGATTTTTTTAAGAAAGAAAACTTTTATGGTCAAAGGGCTCTCCTTTATTAAGTTTATATAATGAGTTATGATATTTTTACGATCACTTTTTTTTACTACTACTCCACTATCATTCTAATCACCATTGAATTAAAGAAAAAATTGAATGAAGAGAAAGAAAAGAAAAATAACTTTTGAATCCAATGATGATTAAAGTAGTAGTGGAGTGGTAATAAAAAAATTAGTAGTAAAAATATCCTACCTCTTATATAATAAGATTATAAATTGCTTATCAATGTAAAAACTTTGAATTTAAACATTAATCATTGTTATGCATAAAAATTGATTATATAAGGCAAGTTTTACTGAACATGATTAGTTGCAATGTATTTATTATTAAACAATTTCATACTAAATTAGCCAGAATAATTGTTGAATAAATTAATTTTATTATAAGTATCCAAATTATTATTTGATCTTTATAATATTACAGGAAGTGTATTATTGAATAGATTCTGTCATGTATAATTTAATATAATTAGGTCATGTTAGATAATCTCAATCATTTATAAATAAATTAATGATTATTTTTTTTATTTCAATATATTTTTATCATTAATTTATCTATAAATGATTAATATTATCTTATTTAAAGTCATGTGATATATGTGAGGATGATTCCCTAAAAATATACTTATAATCCATACCATTGAGTGTCCAAAAAAAATAACATGGTTGAACAAACTCAACATATCTAATCAATAATTTCTGTAAGAAACTCTTGAACGCACTTGCATGTGTAATTGGAGATCATTAATGTCACGAAAGTTGGGAACCTTTCTTTCCAAGATGAACCATTTCCACTCTTTTTTTTTTCTCATTGATTTTTCATATCCGTTCGTTTTATTAGTGCCATGAACATTTCATAAGGAGTTTGCAAACAATTTTCAAATAACATTATTTAATTAGAAAGATAATTTAAATGAGATATTTATTATTGATATTATTTGGTATATCAATTTATATACATATAGATAAAATTATCTATTTATAATCTGTTTAAAAATGATTAATTAAGAAAAACAATTATTTTTTTATTCTCTAAAATATGTTAAAAATTTTGCATGATTCGTGGTAAAGAAGTGTGTTCATCATGTCAGTTGGATTCTAATCCGGATAAAATATAAGCCCAATCAGAGCCCAAAAACACATCGCGAAACACAGACGCAATGCACTCATCGCGACACACAAGACGCGATGCCTTCATCACGTCACACAAGACGCGATACCCACATCGCGTATGAAACCTTCTATAAGAAGTAAACTTAAGGCCTAAGGCAACTCCACCGCGTCTTAACTCCAGTAAACAACGGACAGCTCCAGCTTGCCACAACTCTACTACTAGACACTATGGAAGATAAGGCTACTCAGGTCCCCTGACTGACCTGCAGCCCAAGGCTGGCCACTCAAAAGCCAAGCCGCCTTAACTAAGGCAGCATCTTAACTACTATATAAGCAAACGATATACCACCAAGGTACGATCATCTTTACTTAATCAACACAAAAACACATGTCTCTGATACTGACTTAAGCATTCTTCGCAGGTACCCCCCATTTGGTGCAACACACCAACGAGAAGGACAAAGCTCAAGCACTCTCCAACAGCAATACCAGGCCCAGACCACTAACAACGTAAGCTCATTCAACCGTGTGTGATTGGGCTCGATACATATAGGCCAGTCCATACTGTATTTGGTCTGATCATGTTCACAATTAGAGACACTTCAATATATTTTGAACTTACGAGGACAAATTTTATTGACGAAAGTTATATTTATAACTAATTACATGAAACATTGATTTTTCTTGTTAATTTCTTCTCCTATTTTTTAGATTACAAGACTAACTTTTAAAAAATTATCTGAAGTATTGTTTAAGGGATATAAATCTATCATGTAATAGGAATTTCTTTTTCCTACATACACAAAATTAGTTGGGGTCCACTAATTTTTGGTTTTCTCTCTTACTTTCACTTTCTCTCTCTTCTAAATTTGTGTCTACATGATAAATTAAAATTTTGCTGTGACATGATACATATATATCCCATTGTTTAAAAGGGTTAGTTTTATAATAATTAAATGCAACAACAATTTAGTCAAAGATCAAAAAATTTAACCTCTACAAAATTTAATTTTCTTAAATATACTATAATTAACTTGAGTGCTTCCTTAAAATAGCATGGAAAAAGTAGTCTTCATCAAGCTGAAAATTGACTTAAAAACATTATTATTGTCAAAAATAAATCTTACCCAAAAGACTTCATATGAGGATAATGATTCAATTGCAACAAAAATATGGGATATGTTATACTTAGTTATCACCTTTTTTTCTTCTTTCTTATCGTCTCTTATAACTAATCTTATTATCATTGGATCAAAGTAATTTCAATGGTTACAAAATAGCATCAAGTGAGAATTATTAATTTGATTTAAATCCAACGATAACAAAATTAATTATAAAAAGTGGTAAGAAAAAAAATTATAAATATAACCTGCCCAAAACATTACCCCTTGCTGCTATTAGTTACACAGTGCAAATTCACACGAATAATTAATAAGGTAATAGTTATTCCATGGAATCGTGTAAACATGACTATAATGTTGCACAAAAAGAAAAACAGATGAGAATGGGATGTAGAGACTTTAAGAAACCCACTTTAACGTGTTTCCTGTGAACTACTGATTAGTTTATATAAAGTTTTTATATTATGTGTGCGAAACAGGAGCAGATCTTTAGTTCTATTGGAGTAAGTACTCTTTTATTAAAATTAAGAAAAATAAGACTCAATTAATATTAATAATAGAGTAAATACTCTTTTTGGTCCCTAACAAAAAAACACAGTCCCTACTTTAGTCCCTAAAAAATAAAAAAAATAGTCAGTTGATCCCTAACAAATTTAAAGTGGACCCATTTAGTTGAAATCGTAGTCCCTTACAATTTCAAAAAAGACCCATATTAGTTCCTCAAAAGGACTAAAATGGGTTCACTTTGAATTTGTTAAGGACTAACTGACTAATTTTTTTTTATAAGAAACTAAAGTGGGAATCGTGTTTTATGTTAGGGACCCAAAAAGATATTTACTCTGAAAAAAGTGAAATACGTATTTTTTTTTCTTTTACTAAATGAAAAGGCTAGTTGTTGCTAGTTTCTTTGTTTTCGATTTCTTCAAAAACCAAAGTAACAAAAGCGCTTCTCCCTCGAACAAGTTGCCTTTTCATTTTGTAATAATGATTATGTGTCTCAGTGTCTCCATGCCATGATGCCACTACTGATTTATCTAAGTTGCATCCTTCATCTTTACGTAAGTAAAACGAGGAAGGTTATACTTACAATTTTATTTTTTACAACCTCTTGCAATCATATATTATAACCGTTGATTTCTGCTAATCAACGGTTGTCATTTATTATGAATTAATTAATGAGTTTAATTTGCAAAAATCATAACCATTAAGGAATGGACATCAACAACGGTTATAATATATAGTTGTAAAAAAAAAAAAATTTGTAATTATAACCTGTCCGGAGTAGAATATTTATTTTGTCAGCATCATTAGAATTTGATACGGCTCACATTCTAAAACCTATCAATGTCATGATGGTGACTTAGGATATGCTTGGATATATATGGTGACATGTATGGTTGGATGCAAATGAATATGAAGAGATACCTTATTTTAAGGGTTCTAGAGAATACTCTTATTAATTTATAAATAACTTTAAATAACTCGATACTTTTTTTCTTTTAATCCTGTCCTTTCATTTTCTCTCGAGACATATTGTAAAGCAAACAACTGTGTTGAAGAACACTCGGGAGAATGAATAAATTCCCTTACCAGAAAGATCACGACTTCAAGGATAATTTATTGTGCTATTGCTGCAAATGGGACTCTTTGTTCGTAATTTTTATACTTCCAATTTCTTTTCTTTACAACCTCTTATCATAACTATTATAGTATTGTTCTGGATGACCCAAGTACTGGAGTGGCCTAATTACTCAGGCTCAACCCTTAGCTGGCTCAGTTACTCAAGCCCAACCCCCAGCCTTGTTCCGCATCAGCCCTTAGGGCTGACGTAAACCCTCGCGATCTCCAAGGCTGCAGCACGTCCAAGAGATACACCAAAATGTCCCACTTCGGGACAATAACCGCTAAAGGCAGTCACCATAAGCACTGCAAAGGAACCTGCCCCCTTTGTTCAGCGTTGACATCGTCAGGTCCAGCGGTAGCAGCGCTGCCATTGTGGCAGCGCCAACCACGCCTAACACTGCCATCATGGGTGTACACCCCAAGAAGGGTTGACCCCCACCTCACCAACCCGCATCATCTTCCTTATAAATAGCCCTTAGGGGACACACCAGAAGATCATCTTTTATGTACTGTTGTTATGCCCATTTACTTCTAAGTCATACTCTTGTCCTTTATCTGCTATTGATATCAACTTGCTACCTCTTGGAACTATACCTCCTAGCCTGATCTTTACCTCAGCTAGTGGTGTAATCTATATAATAACATTACCCTCAAGGGTATATAGTGGGCTCACAGAACTGAACGGTACAAGTATTATTAATTTGTTAAATCAAACTCAAATCAACAGTTACAAAATTACATTAAGTGAGAACAATTGAGTTTATTTTAATCCAATAATCGTAAAAAGTAAACGAGAACAGTTGAGTTGATTTTAATCCAATAACCATAAAAATAATGATAAAGGAAGAGAGAATATAAGTATAACAGCCTCATGAGTAAATTATTTTTTATTTAAAATATATTTAAAACATTTTAAGATAATTAAATAATTTTTTTTTAAAAAAAAAACCTCTCTTGTAAGATAAAACACATACCTTCTAAAAATTAAAAATAAATTCAAATGAGTAGATTATTCTACCTACTTTTTTATGCTTATATTGTTTATCAATTCTCAATACCATTAGATCAGAATCTCGAGAGAAGAGAGAAATGATAATGTTAGTTGAAATTCTGATCTAACGATATTGAAAAAATAAAAATAAAATAAATATAAAAAAAGATAGATAGAATACCTTATTCTAAAATTAAATCATAAAAAGTAATTTCAACGCTTGTTCTCTCTCGAATGTCTCAAAAGTTTTGCAACCCTAATCAAAGCGACTGTTGTTAGTGCTAGAAAATTCCATGCTTTAAAAGGAGGAACAGCTGTCTTGATTAATAAACACACGTATATACTAATGGTTAAGGTTTTTTATTTTGATTTATTATCAGTGTATATATTTAATTGCTACATTATTGATTTCTCTTATATAATTAAAAAAAATGAAATTATTTAAGGTATGGCCGTTCCTGTAGACTGAAATGAAATTGAAGTTTCAATATTTTTGTTGTTTACTGATGTTTGTCATTTTAAATGACATAAATTATGTCATTTTAGAAAAGAGATAGACACAAGAAATAAAAATAATATGAGAGAAAGTGAGTGATTTTTTTAATTTAAATTTTAAATAAAAAAATATTATTTTGTGTCTATCTCTATCTTAAAATGACATAACTTTATGTCACTTAAAATGACAAACATTTTTTCTATAAATTATATCCTTTGTCAGACAGTAATGTATTTTTGTTTTCCAAACAAATTAAATATGGTGTTAGACTGGAGTATCAAGGCTTTTAGAGATCGAATGGGTATGTAGTGAGTGAGTTTAAATGAAGCGTAGAGGAATATTGTAATCCTGGGCCTATTTCCTTGATATTTTTAGTCCAATCAGCATCCTACTATTTCTTTTGTACTTCTAATTTTCATTTTGTGTTCTCTTGAAATAGTATTGATAACACTATAATGGTTAATATTAGACTTAATCTCTGTCTAGGATTGAAGGGTTTTGAATTAACCTATCTGAAGATCAATATTTTTGGAGACCAAAGAGCCTTGTAATACCTAATTCTTCTAGTTGGATAAGCAAAAAATTATGTTACTTTATATTTCCAGAGAGAGAGAGAGAGAGAGAGAGAGAAAGAGAGAGATTGGTTGTTACTGTAGACTGAAATAGTTGTTACATAATTTTTTATCAAGTCAAGCCACTGACAATAACTCCTCTAAGGATATATAAAATCGCTTTCGCCAATAACCAACAAAATTGAAAAACAAAGTACTTAAACAAAGATTAATAGGAATGATATTAAAAGTGTACTTAAAACACACACTAGTAATCAAATTGTCATTCACTGTTAGATCATTATTCAACCCAAAATCTACTTCAGTTCTCTGAATATGACCAACCAGCCATTTGATCGTTCCCGTGAAATCAATTTGTATTTGAAGATAAAAAAGTCTACTTGGTGTTCATATGAAATCACTTTAACCAAGCTTCTACCTTAGCCACCATCTTTGCACTGCAGATAGAGGAGTCTTCAAGAATGGTGCATTTCGGTGGATGATTGGATTAACAGTCCTCCCAATTTTAGCCCAAACACTCTGATGGTAAGCAGCAGTAACAGGAACATTATACATGAGCTTCAAAAGCTGCAGCAGCAAATCCAAAATGTCATTACATCTGAGATAATATCTTATCATATTTATTTTTAAGGAAAAACTTTTGTTATTTTAAAGGACACAATTTTGTGTCATTTTAAATAAAACGACCGTATTTTTGAATGTTTTGTTGGACTTTTATAGTTTCTCACTTCCATAAAATTAGGAGGAGAGAAATAGAGAGAGTATTATAGAGGAAAGAGAATGTAAAAAACAATTAAATATGCACTAAAACTCTATCGTTTCACTCAAAATGACATAAAGTTGTGTCATTTAAAATGACAAACGTTTTTCTCTTATTTTAAAGAGGAAGAGCCTACAACAATGGTAAAGTTATTTTTTCATTTTTTGTGACTGAAAATCACGAGTTCAAATCCGGGAAATAGTCTTTTTACAAATATGTAAGAGTAATGTTGCTTACAATGGTTTTAAGTGGTTTTTTTATTTTGATTCATTTAGATTTGTTGCAGATTGGGTTGAAGGCAATACTTCCCAAGTAAAAATTGGAGAAAGATGGGGATTAAAAAGGTACCATACCCACATTTATTCAATCTTTTTTTTTTTGGGAGGAGAATTCTAATATCACAAATAAGTTTTTTTTATTTTTCCCTTCCACATTGTATATTTTTAATGAATTAGGCATTAAACAGATTAGAGGTATCCTTTGCCTTCAACAAATAAACACGTTAAATACAGTTTACACAGTCAAGCAAACGAAATGATTCAAGACTGCATGGTCAAAGCATGAGCAAGCACAAAGACATTTAATAGCTTCAACTCACATTACTTGAAAAAAGAGAGAACCCAGTATGCATATATATTAAGATAGCAATGAAACTAACCTGCCAGTACATGAATGTTTGAATTATGTTGCGCTGCCACCTGCATGTGTGGTTCAAAATAAGGGTTCCATGAGGCAAACAATAACTTTATACACAAAAATGATATGTAGCAAAGGAACATTAGGGAAAAAAGGAAAGGGAAAAGCTTGAGAAACTGACGACAAAAGTGAGATGACCAGCAGGAATCCAAGTCCAATCTCGGCGTGTGATGTCAGTATATTGAGGGTAGTATTGTTTGACTCCACCCAAACACAAGGCTCTTCCAAGTACTTCCTATTCAAGCAAAAAAAAAAATAAATAAATAAATTTATTACTAAGATGTTCATGCACAGTAAAAAATAATGTCCTCAAACAAAAATTGTGTCCAATTCAGTATATGAATTTGAGCTAGGGAGAAGCTGGGTACAATTATAAACAAGAAACAAGAATGCCTACAGATGTGAAGATAATAATTCAGAATGAATTTAGTATTAAATTTACTTGCTAAGTCCATCCAGAGATCAAAATGTAATTCTAAAAAAATGATCCAGACAGTTCAACATAAAAAACATAGTATACATTGAAATTATATAAGAAATTCCACACTTGGCTTTAACTATTGAATTTTAATGCAAGACTCAACTTCACAAATGTCAGAATTATAATTAAGGGTTGCGAAATGGTTCTTCATGTCACAGACCAAGATGTTCTTTTAGCCTATGATATATCCAGGAAACCACATATTCAAAAAGTGAAAACAATAGAGAAAGAGAAAGCCAAGTGAAAAGGCTAGAAGTCCCGATGCACAATAGTGAATGAAGGCAAGGTATTTATGTTCTAGCATCTGACAGTAATCTAATGAAATATACATGAGATAAAGGAGGGTGTATCAGTCCTATGCTTAATGAGAACAATGCTTAATGCTGTCTCTTTGAGCAACATTATTTTCTTTGCATGTTACTAGTATGAACTTTTAAAAGGTTATTCACCTGTACAAGTTAGAGCGACTGAAATTGCGTCTAAGGAACTTGGCAACGTGTTCAAATGACCAGCATAAGATAGGGATCAAAGCAACTGCAACATAATTAAAACACATTATAAAAAGGCAGGACATGGAAGTGACATAAAGGAATGATAATATTACTGCCCTCCAGGAAAAAGGAAACAAGAGTATTATAAATGTAAGGAAAAAGGAAACAAGATTAGCTGACCAAGGAATACTCACATTTAAGGCAAAGATGTGATGTAACAAATGTAAGGCAGTAGATGAAGTATATAAATTCCTTCGTGGCTATTATTGACTGAAAGTAAACTTGCAAGGCCTGCAAATTCCATGCCCTTGGCTTCTGCAATAGCACAAGACAATGCAATAATGTATTAAAGATAGAAGAATTAGAACATTAAGAAGATAATGTTAACTGTAAAATCAAATAAAAAACTTACCCCATATAGCGAGTACAATGAGTACAGGGAAGAGCAAGTAGTACCCATAAAAGAAAGTCGATAAGCCCTATGAGAAAGATGCCTAGGTACCAGTGGAACGGCTGCAAGGACAGCCACGACAAACACCTAGAGAAAATGTATTTGATAAAAGTATCAGCAACAGAAGTGATTCAGATCAGCAAGCAAACAGTCTAGCGGAAAAAAATAAAAAATCAATATCTCAATTGTTTCTGTTTTGTGTTTTGACTTTTGACTTTTAAAACAAAAAAAGAAAACACTCATTTTATTGACTGCTCTACAAAATAATTTGAAGAAAAAAAAAAAACATATAATTGACATGTAGAATTCTTAAGAAGCAAGCTCTGTTAAGAAGCAAGCTCTGTTAGAATATAAATACTAAATATCCTTTTCACAATTTCAATCAAATAGGCCACATATAACTCGGCAAATTCACAATTTCAATCCCTCCCTTCCTAATTCTAATATCCTTTTCACTTCCCTACACAAGTGCTCTACTAGCATATAATTGACATGTAGAATTCTTAAGAAGCAAGCTCTGTTAGAATATAAATACTAAATCAAGTGTTCATAGACAAAAGTAAGAAAAGAACTAAACAAAACAATCAGTCAAATGTGGTCATCCATACGGTCATATGAAAACGAGGCATATCTTAAACAGAAATCATATTATGTATGAATCTATGACTTCAATGTAGAAAAGACTGTACCCAAGCATTAACAGAAAATAGAATTGTCTGCCGATCCCAACGCAAAGATGTTGGATTAGGTCCTGCAGTTGAAGATGTCCCTGAAGTTCTATTAGTTGTTCCTGCAGAAAAATTCAAAACATATAGTAAAACTCAGGCTAGCAAGCAACAAAGAACAAACAAAATGATTACCATTTACCAAGATGTGCTTCATTATGAGTTCTTTATTCTAATATAATTCAAAAATCTATCAGATTCATAGTAATGACATATTCACCAGAGCTTCTTGCACGAGCTTGACCATTTGTTGGAGATGGTGACGACGACGATGTTGCTGATGGCCGTGCTGGCTGGGATGAACTGCCAAAAGACATTGGTTCTACCACTAGATCAGGATCCTGTTTATCATCCAATAGTAACAAACAATTTACCAAGTTAGTCAAAATAAGACAAATTCTCCAGATACAAATACACACTATGCAGCATCAAAATATGAAACCTTGTTACAAATGACTATCTATCCAACCCTCCAAAACAGTTCAGAAATAAAAACATAACAATGAATTCTAATCAATATTTACTAATTCACTAAAATTCACAAATTATCCAATAGTTACAATCAATTTAAAACTATTTCAGTGAAAATAAAACCAATTAATACATGTAGCACCCAAAAAATAAAGCATTTACTATAATTGATCATAAAGTAATAAATAGAAAACATGAACTAAATTTTCGAAAGACACCCAAAAAAAATTGTAACAAAAGGAGAGTGACCCAATTGTCCAAACAGATAAAAAATCGAAACTTGATGAGACATTAGGGTGTATAAGGGGAAATAAAGAAGTGGGGTTTGTTGAGAGTTTACATACAACGTAGCGTTGGTAGAACTTGCGCTTGAAGTGAGAAACGACGTCGGAGCGTGAAGCCATGTGGGGAGGGATGAGAACGTTGTTCCAATAATCGGGCCATCGTTGGTCGTTGTCGTAGTCGTATGAATCCGCCGCTATTCGTTTCAGCTTCTGTGGATCTTCTCTCTCTTCCGCCATTTTTTTTTTCCACTCTCTTTCTTTTTCTTCTTCTTCTACTACGCACTCTCTCTCTCCTCTTTCAGTGTCAACTTCCTCGGATATAAGGGTCGTTTCGGTGCAATTTCTGACCTTAAACGCAACCCATCAAGTGTCGTTTGCGTACGAATTCATTGAAAGGGCAAAAGTGCAATGCAATAACCTCCTTTCATTAGGAATATTCTTCTTTCAAGGTTAAAATTACAATAGGGATTGGTATTTTTTTTTTTTGGTGAGGCTAGGGATTGGTATTTATCTTTTTTAAATGATACAAAATTATATTATTTTAAGTAAGAACAAAAAATATACAATGAAAATCACGAGTTAAGAAAGTGAGGTTTTTTTTTTAATTTAAATTTTAATAAAAAATACTAGCTGGAAGTAAAATGACCATCCTTTTAAAAGGATAAAACATTTTTTCTTTATAATAATATATATACATAATTAATAATTAGAAAAAGTTCTTATGACTTTAAAGTATGTATTTTTATGTTATTTTAAGTGAAATTATAGTATTTTAATGATTTTTTTATAGATTTTCTCTTCATATTTTATTGAGTAGAGAAAATATAAAAAATATCAAATATACAATAAAATACAACCGTTTCATTTAAAATGACACAAATGTGTGTTTTCAACAATGATAAATATTTTTCCATTTTAAAAATTAATAAACATATTTAAAATTATAAAGGAGATAGGTACAATTAATTTAAAATAATTTAATTTTAAATTTTAAAAGTTATAAGTTAAGAATGAGATGTTAAGAAAAAATGTTAAAAGAAAAGAAAAGGAAAAAAATATTTTACAACTATTGAATTTCGTGTCTAATAGAGGAAGATGATACAATAAGAGATCATCTTACTCTATTTTATAATATAAGGGGTTTTATACTTTTATATCTATAAATCCTTCTGTTAATTGCTATTAACTCACAAACTTTGAGCTAATCTTAACTAACAAAACATTGGATTGGGCCAAACAAATGAAATGAAAAAGATTTTTGTTAAACTTGGTTTGGCTTGAGTTTGCGATGGGCCGAGTCAGCCCACAAACCCAAACATGTCATAATTAATTATTATGATAATTATTTTTTTATAATTTTTTGAATGATATTTTAAATAAAGTAATATATTTTCAGTAATATTTACTTTTTAAGACTTTTATAAATTAATAAAAAAGTTATTCAATCAAAATAACCTGCAACCTACGTAGAGCAAGCTGAACTAATAATTTACTTACCTAGAGTGTACTTGATCCGCTACGGATAGACCCATGTTAGATCCAGTTCGCAAACCCAAATTGATAAGCCCGAGGCATGAGAGGTATATATTATATTTAAATGTGTTTAAAATCAATTTGATTTATAAAGATGAGATATTATGTCTATTTTCCATGTTTATTTTATTTATTTTTTTCAATATTTTTATATCATAATTAATCTCGATCAATTTTTAACCTTTTTTCCTCCTGTTCATTGTTGGCTGAGATTTTGATTTAATTATCGGACGGAAGCAGAATGTTCGTATAATATTCTATCTCTGAATTATATGTGTATAATTAAAATAAAAATAATATATAATTAAGTCAATTCTTATATTATAACTTTTTAAATAAGAATTTTTATTATTAACTCTTATTTCATAAAATTTTAAGCAGAATAAATCAAATCAATTCTCAAATTTTACATTCTCAAGAAGAAAACAGAATTTAGAAGAAATTATCATCTTGTTAATCCTTCACTATTAGGGTTACCTTTTTTATTTATTTTCTTCATTTTAAGTAGTTGGATGATACAATCAATAAATACCTGTCTCAAAGAGATAATTAGGGTTAGGTAACTCCAAAAAGACCATATAGGATCAAGATCAACAACTAGATTGTTAGATGGTTAGAAAGTAGTTGAAGAATTTGTTGTATTATAATTTATAACATACTTGGTGAAGGTTCTACACCTAAGTCAACTAGCATAAAAAGAGCTCAAGTTGAGGTATTTTTTAGCAATTTGATGTGGCAGGACGGATTCAAGGGAATTGCGAAAATTGACCATTCTAGTTCTCTAAATTTTTATTATTATTATTATTATTATTTATAAAGTAATGTTTTTATAATAATAATAAATCATTAGTATTAATAGTTACTCTCTTCCTCAAAAAATACTTGTAGTAATTAACCTATCTTATTAATCTTAATAATATTTGTAAGTTGATATTTTATTTTCATTTTTCGCCCCATCTTAAAAGCTAGGCTTATCATTCTCGTGCTTTCACTCGTTCGAAGGAACAAGTACATGAACACATGGACGAAGGCATAGAAGCTGCTAGATTTCAAGGCAAACAAATATTCTCGCATATCATTGTAGTGAAAATCTATTCTAAGTGTCACAGAGCGGAAAATTGGATCTTCAAGGTCCAAGAATTCTTCAACTTATACCAAAACTTGATCAATAAACTATAAATAAGCAAAAAGAAACTGTCATTGTAGTAGGTAAAATTTGTTTTTGTTATTTACAAATTCAAACCACCAAGCACAACAAACAATGCAAATCTTCTCCAAGAATTTCATCACATGTTTGCTGATTCACAACATATTATCACCTTGGAGAGCCATTGACCATCTTATTCACTTGGTTCCATGTTTCTTGACTAGTGAGGGTTGCTTATACAAAGGTTGCTTCTCAGACTCGAACACATGGCCTTTTGATCGCAAAAAATAACCTTACCGCCACTCTAATGCTTGATATTAGGGCTATATATCACCAAATAAAATGCAGAAATAGGATGAGACAATGACAACATTTTGAACTTGCAAAATGCAATGTAAGTCCATTTTCTATCAGGATTGTCAAATGGGCAAGGGACGAGGAACATTATCAATGAGCTAAGCTACATCAACTGTAGTGGGTCTGATTCAATGTCTCAATTCAAAACCTTAAGACAATAGATTCATGGATCCTCTCATCTATGTAGTCTTCATTTAGTCCATTATCAATTAAAATGCAGAACTAACTTTTTCTTTCCAATTATGACGTCATTATTATTAACCAAGTTGATTACTTAATCTTCTTTCAAAACATTGCCTATATGTAAATTGCAATTAAACAACTAACTGAAATACCTCATTATATAAATAACTGTGTCTCTAGTCACGGAACTACTACACGTAGACCGGACAAATCCTGATAGTTTATACAACTCAAAGCTACAAACATAACTAACATCAATGTGGCATGGACAACCCTCATGCTCACCAAATAAGGCAACAAAACCCAACAGAGTCTCAAATCATATAACAATATAAAGACAATAAAACATAAATCGGCATCCAAGCATATCAGCATAAACATGCATAAATAGTCAACTAAACTCCGGCCTCCTGCCGCCTGAGGTATCAGCCCTCGAGGTACCTGAACCTGAAAATGTGCCCCAAACGTGGGGTGAGATCTCTAAAAAGAAATCTCAGTAAGACAAGGGGTCCTCAAGGATCTCTCCACCCTAAGCTCATTCACATGTGCAATATAAGTTCAAAAGCAGTATAATATTATAAGTTCCAAAATCAGTGCCATGCAGCATTTAATCATGTCATGTGTGTCAAAATCCTACTGGCCAGAGAACATGCAAGAATTATGTAACACCCAGTATATATCCGGCAATGTTATCATAATATCGTAGTAAGTTGCGCTTAATTAAAAATGCGGAATTACTTTTTCTTTTCAATTATGATGCCATTAACATTACCAACTTGCTTAATAATCAATTAATAAAACATCGCCTGTATGTAATTGCAATAAAACAGCTAACTGAAATACCTCATAACATAGATAAAATAAGTGTGGCTCTAGTCACGGAACTACAACAATGTAGACCGGACCATCTAGCAGTTTATACAACTCCAATCTAAAAGTACTAACAGAAAGTGTCATGGACAATCCTCATGCTCACTCAAATAAGGCAACATGCCCAACATTAGTCTCAACAACAGTCTCAACAACAACATAATGATAAAAGGCATAAAACATAATCAGCATCAATATCCAGTCATGCTAACAAATAAGCAGAAACAACATAATCAGCTAAGCTCCGGCCTCCTGCCGCCTGAGGCATCAGTACCCATACTACCTGATCTTGAAATAAGCGTTCCCCAAACGTGGGGTAAGATATCTAATCTAGAAATCTCAGTAAGTCAGTGAGTCCTCAAGGATCTTCCACCCTAAGCTCACTTACATGTGCAATATAAGTTCAAAAGCAGTTTATCATTTATCATTTCTAAAACAATGCAATGCAGCAGATAATCATGCCATGTGTGTCAATACTAATCTACTGGCCAGAGACAGTGCAGGTATACGTCTATCACCTACACACCGTGCAAGTACCACTTGCATTAACCCCGGTACACCGTCTTGTATGGCGCTACATACTCAGGCTTCCCGTCAAGATGAAACAACACATGCATATTAAAAGCCATTACATGTAAAGTTCAATCAACATATCAAATATTCCAAAAGCATGTACACATCATGCATAAACCATACCCCCATGGGACATGGTGGAACCACAACATGGCTAAACCGAGGACACGAAAGCTTACCTTGCAAGCTAACTCCAAAAGCCAAGAGTCCACAGATCAAAGTCCAAACACAGCAGATTCACAATCTGTTATGGACCAACAATACATCAACAACATGCACCACAAGCATACAATATTAAGACAACGCCTTTCCATACGTTTAACGTCTTAAGGATCCATAACAAGCCATAAGTCCTTAATCACAACGATTCTGACTTAACTTAATTAAAACAGAAGTTCAACTTCATCAATCTAGGGTCCACAAACCCCCAATAGCCTACTGTCCTCACAGCACAGCTACTGTTCTTCGAAATCCCAGAATATCCGGATATTCCACGGGACCATATCCGGATATTCAATATCCGGATATCCAGAATCCCATATCCGGATACTCAAAACCCATATCCGGATATCACATATCCGGATATTCATCGGGCACATATCCGGATATTCATCGGGCACATA